ATGGGGGGTAGGGGAGCGGCGACACCGCCGCACCAACAATTCTCGCTCCTGCTTCGGGCCCGGCCCCCCCACCCAGCACCTGGACCAGACCACCCCCAGCAAAAGTTCCCCCGGGATCGGGGTCCACATGCCGTGCACAGGCCACCCAACCAGAGACCCCCAACCCCCCCTAACTAATTCACCTGCTGAACCTGCTCACGTGATCTCAAGTTAGGACACTGGTGACCCACTTCATATGCTTCAGTTTCAGTATGCTAATTGATGACATGACCACAGACTCTCATTCTGCAGTATTTAATGTGATTCTTGTTGTTAAGTAATGTAGGAAGGAGAAGATATATCTAAATAAGTTTCACTTCTTGATATCCCATTTAGAAATAATCCGTAAATTGTACATAAAATGCAATTACATATATCATTAATTATATATAACCTAATTTTAATAGATTATCTGAAATACATTTTCTTATCGATTCATTCATTGATTAAACTGTGAGAAAAAGGAGTGCGGATAGAGAATAGACATTTCCCTCTTTTAAACATTTTTAAGAGATGACACTTGAAAGAAGAAAGAATTGTATTGAATGAATCACACTCAGCAGGGATTAAAATCTTGTAAAGTCAGAAAAGTGATAGACATGTAAGAAAACACAATAGTTGTGCTGCACAACACTACCATCTAGTGTACGGACCAAGTAATTATTGTAGGAAATGTATTTTAATTTGAAGGAAATATGAAAGGAATAAGAGAAAAACATCATAAAAAAGCAAACTAAAAGAGAATAATGAAAGAAGTGCAATAATTTATGCACCAGTCAGGGGCTTAACTACAACAAGTTCACACAAATAAGAATGATTTGATATAATAAACAGTTTAATCTCCCCAATTTCATCTCTTTGGGCCCTCGGTGCTTTGACTGCCTGTTCTCTCTCAGCTCCAGCAACTAAGCTCAGCTGTCTTCTCTTGATCAACCTAATTAGCATTTAAGCCTGTCTGTTTAGTCAGTTCTAGTCAGATCCTCCTGTTTATCTTCCTCCTGTGATGCCGCCCAAGGTGCTCCTGGTTAATTTATAATTCCTCATTACTCCTTTAATAAAGACTCAAGTACTTCATTTTGCCTGCTTGTGAATGACTTCACTTTGTATTACTCCCTTTTGGTCCTCAGAGGGCAAAACCAAAGAAAAAAACTCTTCTCATTCCTCCAGGAGGAAAGTCTCTCCATAGCATGATGCTGCCACCATATGCCTCATGGTGGGGATGTTTTGCTCAGACTGACATCCTAAACTAATGTTTCAACACACATAGAATTTGCATGTGTAGCTAGTGTAGTTAATTATAGTAATCTGTATTTCACTACAATATCATTTTGATTTAAAGTGTTGTTATGGTTTCAGTTAATTTGTTTTTATTTTCTTTTTGGAAGCTTTTATTTAGAATTTTTGTGGGTTGCATATGTCTCTTCCTACTTGGTGCTATCCGTTCTTAGACGTGGGAAACAGATCCCTTTTTCATGAAACCGAATTAATGGATTAAATCAGAACTTCTGGGGCAAATTAAGACGCTACTTGGTTTCACGAAAGCAGTAATACAGAAGTTATAAAGGTAATTTACTGTGTGCTGCTAGCCTGTTCCCGACTAAGATAACAGTCAGGCTTACACAAACCAGGATGCTATATCTCTGCTTCAGTGATTGGTAGCCTATGCCAGTGTTTCCCAACCTTTTTTGACCTGTGTACCCCTTTGGGTATTTTTTGTTACCATGAGTCCCCTTCTCAGTCAAAAGTATTAATGATTGTCCAAAACTGTAACATACGATAACTGATTATAAAATATAAATCTATTTTACTTGATATTTTAATTTAAGCATTCTTAGGCATTTTATTCTTCCCACCTCAAATAAAAAACAGCATAAACATGTTCCCTGGAAGTTGGTAAGGAATCGAAATAAATACAAAATAAAATAAAATTTTAAACCTACATTTATAAAACTGGAGCTCCACTGAGTAACTTCCTTAAAATCGCATTTAAACTTAATATATCTTATAACAAAATACAGAACAAAAATTATAGTCAGACAGAATTAGCTTTCAAGACACCCCAGCTTGCTTTGATGAACTCCATTAGCTCAGAGTGAAAAACAGCTCACATCAGGCTGTTCTATACATCCAGACTGTTCCTCTGCTTGGTTTTGGTTAACTCAAACATATAAGATAAACTTGTATGTCTTTTTAGAGACAGTTGTTCTAACTGTGACAGAAATGCCTTTAATAGAGTAATGTTGGAGAATCAATATTTAAATTTTTCTGAGTTCATGCATGAACTGAGAAAAAAAAATCAAATACTGACTTTACTGCCTTTCTCGGGAGGCCATCTAGCGGATGAAATTCTGCTGGGTCCCAGAATTCAGAACAGCTCAAAACAAAGCCAGTTCTTTACCGCCACACAGATTATCGGAGAAATTGACCTCTGCATTTAACCAATCCCTTCGGGAGCAGTGGGCTGCCATTGTGGGGCACCTGGGGAGCAATAAGGGTCTTGCTCAGAGAACCAGAACGGCAGTGGATTTCGAACTCACAAGCTCAGAAGTCCATACTCTATGCCCTAACCACTAGGCTTCCACTCCACCCTGCTAGTAGTAAGTTAGATGCTGAAATTATTAGCAAAGAGATGATTTGCTGCACCATCAGCGGTATATTTGACATTAAAAGGATAGACGCACATCTTAACCTTTTCTGAGCAGAGAAGAATGAACTAGAAAAAAGAGGGATTCCACAATATTAAGTATAAATTAATTTATGCATCACAAAGAAACTTAGAAAGAGATTGACTTTTGAAGGGGATTTTGCTGACAGAAAATCCCAACGTTTAGGTCAGAGTCACCTATGGTTAGGGCTCTCAAATAAATACATTTATTGTGTGAATTACATTATCTAAATACATTTTATTGTTTCCAAACCTGCTACTCACAGCACAGGATCCCTTCAAAAACATCTCTTCCTTTCTTTAAAGGGACAGTGTGTAAGATTTACCTCCCATCAAGTTTGTAGGATCCGGTTCCTCCCTGTCAAGCGTGTGAGATCTACTACATCTATATCAACCTCCGTCACCCTTGTCAAATCACCTATATTAGGCAATTACATTTCTCAGAAAAAAAAAGTACTGAAAGAAACCTATGGTCACCAGCAAGAAGAATAACAGCAGCTTATAACTGTTGCACCGTGGCTCATCCAGTGTAGGCTAAATAACCAACAAGCTGTCTCTATTGGAAGGACAAATCTGGCTTAATCAACATTTATATTAGTTAGCTAACTTCTAGGAAAATTTTGGTTGCACTTTACTGTATTTACGTGCATCAGCACCAAAAGTTGTAGAACCAAGCCTTTTTTTTCTGGCCTTCTTTTCAGAACTTGGCATTGGTTTAGCTCACAAAATCCTAATAAAATCTATTTTTTTTTTATTTTAAATGTACAAAATGTGGATAAGTGTAAGGGAATAGGTTGCTTGTGCAAGCACTATAGGCACAGTGATCTATTCTGATATTCAAATTTGAAATTAGATTTACCCACATCAGGGTTCTTTGAAATCAGGGTCCAGTTTAGTCAACATATTTGTAATGTTTGGTTTGTATTCATTGATATCAAAGTGAACAGAGGTTAAATATCAATGCTACAAATTTGAACTCTTTAAAATGCTTTTTTATTGTATACCCAGTGCCTACGCAAGACACTTCAACCACAAATGAAAGTAAATTGACTATTGTTTTTGTGTCCATTATTCATTCAAAATTAAATTCCTGCAAACAGAAGTTCTTTTAAATGTTGATGTTTGGGTTTTGATTAATCATTTTTCACAAACATTTATTAAAAATTAAAACTGAAGCCATATAAGGCGACACAGTAAGATAACATGATGTGCTTCACATAAGTGGGGCAATGACCCACATTATGCTCATGGCTGTAAAAGGCGTTTGCAGATCCTGGCACCATCCTTGCATTGGATCCAGTGCCAACAACTCAAGCCTTTTTTTTCCCTTTTTTTTTCTCACAGTCCTGCAAACAGAAGGTGTGAAAACAAACAAAGCTTATGTATGGAGGATGTAGCATTTGCAAGAGGCATGTGGCTTTAAATGAAAGCTGTTGGAAAAGCCTGGGCTATAAATAGATGCATGCTTTTCCAGTTTTATTTCCTCATTTTTTTCTTTAGAGAATAAAGAATAGCAATAATCCTCATTCCAAAAGGGATTAAATGTTAGTTAAATAACCTTCTACTCCAGTGTGCTGATAGATGGACTCTGCCTGGAAAATGCGGGGTGACTCAGGCGGTGCATGTTCTCGTTAGGAGGAAACTAACGCTCCTATTCCCGCGACATCATCATCATCCCACATAAGTGGAGCTCCTCAGTCCTGCACGGCAGCCGCTCCTGGATGCGTGCTGAGCGGCGCCACAAGAGGAGCGGAGCGCTCTCCCACCTGGACTCACCGTTGCATCAAATCAAAGAAAATAATAACAATTACAGAGGACGCCTATTTGATTTAGGAGGAGCTCATCCTCCACCAGTGGGGGGGAAGGGGGATGCCATCCACGGATCGATCAGTTGGAGCGCGTAAGTTATCTGTTTTCTACCCAAACAATGCGATGTAATTCCTGATACCTGCGCGTTGGATGGCCATGTTTTAGTGAGCAGAAAAAAGGCCAGAGCAGGATGCTTTTCACAGATCTACGCCTGTAGTATTAGTACTACAGTAGGATGTGTTTGCATTGATTTGGTGGTGGTGGGGGGGTGGGGGAGTTCAGAAAGCCGAGCCGTTGTTTGCAACATCAGCACCAGGCTGAGCGATGCCTTTTGGCTGCAGGCTGCCTGACAACCTTCAACTGGAGCTTGGTGCTGAAAGGACAGCGGTCAGCAGGAGCCTGGATTCACCCCAAAGCACCGAAAACGCCTCGAACATGACAAGTTATAACAGACTGCGTTGATTAGACTTTCATAATTCAACAGATTCTGTTTGGACAAACATCCAGAGAGAAATCAATCTGCCATCGACTGTTTGAGAAATCCTTTCAAATGGGCTCAGATTTTTCAGGGCATTCTGCAGAGTTGTATTTTCCATTTTGCCTTCATGAAGTTTGACTGGTTGTAACATCCTGATGCATATAGCAAAGTTTGATGTAGTTAAATTGGAAATGATTTTTTTTTTTGCTGGTCAATTCAAAATGGAAGATAGATTATACAAAAATGTTCAATACTTTGTAGGAACACATTTTGCAAGAATTAGAACTGATTGTGTTTTATTTCCTCCAAAGGTTGAAAATATTGCAAAATAAACCAGATTCTTAACCTGGTGAGACAATCATATGTAGGTCTAGTACCAATCAAGAATGATTTGCTGTATGTTCTGTTGAAAAGGGTAGTTCTCTACCTTTTTCTAAAGTATTTTGCAATGTTGACACTTTTTGTTCTCTGCATGTATTCATCTCAGTAGTAGGGATGTGCACAGCTGACCTTTCTTCTAAGAGATTTTACATCAAGCCCCAAAAAACAAACAAACAAACAAAAAAATTCTGAGCAGAGCACCTTTTTCCACACATTCACTGTTTGCTGCATGGGTTATTTTCTAATTTCAAACATTGTATTTCCTTTCTGCTAGTAGTTGTCCTGTCACCTTATCGTGCATCTCTGCAGCTCCTCCAGAGTTACCATGAACATCTTTGCTGCTGCTTAATGCTCTCCTTTTCCAGTCCGTTGGTTTTGGTGCACAGGTATTGGTAGGTTTGATTTTTCAAAGCTTAGGATTAGGGCAGAAAGAATTAATCAGATAAATCTTGATTAATCGATTATTGTAATAATCACCAACTAATTTAGTAATCGACTAATTGTTAAATAGAGTATAGAGACTGTAAAATATGCCTTTAGCTGAAAGAACAACCCACATAGAGCAGTAATCATTTCAAAATTGTAAACAAATATCTAAACATTTTGCATTGAAGATTTAAAAGAAAATTAGTTTGTTAATATGCTTTATCCAGAAGTTTCTCCCATCCAATTCCATCACGTTTATCCCAAGCAGGGCCACGAGGGGTCTCCAGCTGTCTACAGGCGAGAGGCGGGGTCCACCCTGGACAGGTCACCAGTCCATTGCAGTGCAACACAGAGACAAACTGGACAAACAGACATGTTTTGGATTGTGGGAGGAAACTGGAGTACCTGGAGAGAACCCATGCATGCTCAGGGAGGCGACAGTGCTACCAACTGTGCCACAAGAGTTTTAGTTTCACCGGGTTTAATTTAGTAAAGAAAATCTTCTTTAAGGGGCCTTTGACTATCCGATTACTAATCAGTTAATCTAATAATTAATTAAAATATTAATCTATTTGCAAAATAATCAGTAGTTGCAGCCCTACTTAGGATGTAGTTTTATTACCCACCTTCCTTTTCACCTCACTGCTATGTTTATATGTCTTAATTACTGTGTGTGAGCACTAATGTGCTCTACAAAGCTCTGAGGCCTTCACAGATGCAAACTTGGAGCTCACATTTTCTAATTTGGCAACTTCTGAAGAGAATAGCATTCTTTCTTAAGCTGCAGAAGACCGTTGCTACTGACAATAAAAAGACACCCTGGAGACTGAACCCACCTGAGGTTTTCTTTTTATAAATAGGTTTAAAGATATGAATGCAAATGGCTAAAAAGCAATGGTGTAGGTAAAAATAAGCCAAAGTTTAACTTGATAATCAGTCTTAGATAGAATTAACCTCTATTTAATTCAAGCTTCTGCCCTGTTGTATTAATCCAAACATGATGGACCAATCTGAGTAATGAGCCTGAGAATAGTTACAAAGCTACACTTCGTTTCCTATCTGAGTACAAGATTATTTAAAGGTTAAGCTCTGTTTTTTGTTGCTTTTTCAATGGAGTAAACAGAAATCACACCTTGCCCTTTTCACCAACAATGGAAAGCGCCTGTTTGTTTTTGTACCTGTGCTGAACAGCTTGTTCATGTTTTTAAAGTGAGAGAAAAGCATCTCAGTGTTTTTATCATAAGTTTTAACAGTGACAGAAATGTTATACTTCATAGCTTTTTTTGGGGTTTTATTACTTTGCTAAGGAAAAAAAAATTACATTTCAAGAGGAAATATTATCTTCATTATATAGAGGTATTATTAGAGGGGCTTCTTAAAAAAGAAAAGTTCCTTTGTGTCTTTTATTGCCTCCTTTTGTTTAAGGTTTTATTTTCTGTATATATATTTTATCCTTATAAAATCTGCTTTGGGTAGCTATTGAGTTTTTTCTTGAGGTTATTCAGTCGAAGCAAGAAATAAATACACAAACATTTCTTCCTCTTCCTTTAGATGCACTCACTTCCTCTTGCTGCCAGTGTTGTTTAAGCTCTGCACTGGAGGCACCAGGATTCTGCAGTTCTATCTGCCAGAGTTTACAGGACATCCTGAAAACTTCTTATAAACTGAATCTCTCAGCTTTTTAATATTCTTAAAAAACTGCTTTTGATAACTTTTGCTTCTGTTTGGAGGTAACCATTGCTAATCAACATTTTTTTGAGACAATTGGTCTACGGATAATATTTGAAAAGAGAAGGTGCTGATTTGTACTTAAATTGGAGATGCTCAGAAATTAAAACATATAAGCATTAATGGTGTTTCTAAGGGGATTTTTTGCATCTCTATCAGGCCTTTATGGGGTTGAAAGGTGATTGATCAAATTGGCAAGCTTAACCGTGTTAGAAATAACTATAAGTGGGACATATGCGGTCAATAAATTGAGTTTTCTGGGCTAAGTAAGCATTCAACTTTGAGTAGCCATTCAAAACTCTTCTCTCCAGGTGCCTAATGTTTTGAGGGACCTGCGAAAATTAGGATTGTTGGATCAATTTGTGCAGAAATGAAGAGATTTTTTGAACTCACCAACCTGTTTGCAACAAATTGATTTTTATTTCCTTCAGAAAATAAAAAAAAAATGGAAAATTTCTTTGCAAAGCTCAACATCTGTTATGCGTGAAACCTTTTCACCGTGTCAGTATCTACTAGAAGGGAGTAGAAACTAATAGTAAATGACATTTTTTGTGCTATTTTATTGCCAATAAATACTATAGGGGATTTTTCTATTGACTATAAGCCAATGTTTCTGAAAAATGTATCAGTCTGTTTATATCTAAATCTGTGATTCATTAATTACGTAAATTATCATTAATTAAGCTGTCTGTTACCAAATCAGAAATCCAAATCCGTCACTTGAAACTTTAAAAAATTTAGGTAATAATACCAAGGGAGTAGTAAATATTCTAAATTATCAGCTTATAGGCTGTGCAGTAAACATACTAATTCTACAATAATCGCAATAAAAATTGTAATGACAGAAGAACCAACATACAGGATTAAGGAAATTAAAGAATGTTTTGTAAAGTATTGAAAAAACTGCAAATTTCCAACCTCTAATAGACTTTGACCAGGATATGGAATTGATGCTAAAGTCATTATCTCTACCAAAGATGACAGAAGATCAAAGTAGATTAATAACGTCGGACATAACATAGGAGGATATATATATATATATGCTACTATATAGCCTGACTCAAAGCAAATAAATCTCCTGATCCGGGCGGTTTTACAGCAGGAAGGTATAAAAATTTAAAAGAGGAGTTATCACCCTTATTAATGTGAAAATTTAATTGGGTCTTATCAAAGAGGGAAACCACACCAGCATTAATATGGTGTGGTTATTAATATCTTGAACCTAGATTAATTAATATCTTGAACCTAGATTACAAACAATTTACCTCAATAATCGTTGGAGACTAGAAAAACTTTAGCACCAATTAGTAATATGGATTGAATAGACTTTATACAGTCTCGTCAGACACATGACAATATAAAGAGACCTTAACATATCATTAGAAATATAAACCAAAACGCAGGCTTTGCTGATAATAGATTTTGAATCAGCAACATGAACACTTTTATTTCAGACAGTGCAAAGTTTTGGTTTTAGCCAGGATGGGATTAAAATGATTTGATTTACAATAAACCACCAGCCAGACTAAATATTAATGGTGAATTGACAGACTCTTTTCTGTTAGAAAGGTCTATAAGGCATTGCTGTCTGCTGAGTCCCTTGCTGTTTGCTTTGTTCATAGAGCCTATAGAGCAGGAGTCGGCAACCTGCGGCTCCAGACCCTCATGCGGCTCTTCAGCGCCCCCCTTGCGGCTCCCTGGAGCTTTTTCCAAAATTTATGAAAATTGTCTATTTTTGTTTGTTCATTTTAAAATGGTGCGCAGGAGGTTAAACAAACATTCATTTGGTTTTCCAATGCTGTAAAAATGTGTATTATAAATAAATTTAAAAAATAAATATAAACATTTCTTTGAACGAAAATTTGTATCATAGCCGTAGAGATCATTGGTCATTGTCTGCAACACACCTTTCAGCGCAGCTCTGTGTGAAGCAAACAAAGTGGTGGGTGTGTCATGGGCCAAGGATCCCAAAGGGAAAAAAGGATGCTAGCTGCTGAGAACAGATGATTTAAAGAAGAATGGATCAAATAATTTGCTTTCATTATCAATGCGAAAGGATTGTCTGTATTTTTGCTTTG